TCAAGAATCATAGAGAAACAGCAAAAAAGGAGCTCATCAATTCCAGTCTTGTAACTAAATAAGCGTGGGACTTAAAATATGTCTTTTGGCTTAGATGGCCATGTTAGGGTTCTTGCTAGGGACTTCCAGGAAGCTGATTCCCGTAGGAAACATGTCTTCTCGTCTATTTGCATAATTTTATGCTTGCATAACACATGTTTATGCTATACAGACTTTCTGGAGTTAGTGTAGCAGACGAGCAACCTCAGGCAGAGCGCTCAATGCTCTATTCTCACCAATAAAGCCCTTCCAAAAAGAAGCCATCTACACCATGAATGATCTGCCGATCTGTGAGGGCAGAAATGCAGACTCAAAGGCTTCCTCCCTCAAAAAGAAATCAAAATGTCCTCTGCTAATGACCCGACTCTAATGTTTGGAGTCTGATCCAGTTCCTCATGACACCTCATACAAGTAGAGGGTGAATCCTACCCTACCCGGGCACCTCAGGCCAGTGGCTGAGCAATGGTGCTTTGAAACTTATTATCTGAGAAGACAGCTAAGAGCTCCCTCTCCCCTCTTCTCTATTCAAACGCAGACATACAGATGGCACAGAAGACAAGGCCAGGGAACATCTTGTTACTAGAATTAAGAAGTTCCTTATGCTCTCAGGAGTATGGTCTCTTGAGAAGTCACGTGCTTAGTTTGGTCCTCAGTGCCTACCTTGTTCGTGCATGTATACACACGTGTGTGTGCCTGTTCAAATACTCGTACATACGGAGACTAGACATTAAGTTTGGGTGTCATTCCTCAGGATGCGACGCGCACTGTGTTCATAGCCAGTCTGTACGGGAACTCAGCAGTTCATCTAGTCTGGCTGATGAGGAATTCGCAGAGATGTACTTCTCCCTCTCTGTCACCTACACTAGGAATACAGGCATGTATCACCACAGTGGACATGGTTCTAAGGAGGGAACCCAGAACTTCTCCCTCTCTGTCCCGTACACTGGGAATACAGGCATGTGCCCCCGAAGTGGACATGGGTTCTGAGGAGGGAACCCAGGTCCTCATGCTTGTGGGGATCAATACCAACCAACCAAAGCGTTATACCACTGCATTAGCTCTTTGTCTGTGCTCCTCACTAAAATGTTTACATCATTTTGGTCTGCTGAATATCACATTTCTATGCCTGGCCATGGCCCCCTGTAGTTCCTGTCACGACAGCACCCTCTGGACTGCTAGTGTCCCGTGCCCCGAGCTCCGTGCTCTGTGTGTACTGTGCATCGCTGCAGGCAGCACTACTTTAGGACTTTTTTAACCTGTTTCTTATCTTTCTCACCTGAGCTAACAACTTTGTAGTTTTCTTTCACCATAGGATAATTCGGTATCATTCTATATATAAACCCTTATACATGTGTGATCTGAGGCTTGCTCACTTTTTCTGATTTATTATTTATTTTGCCAACCCTCTCCTCCTGAGAAGCTGGATGGAAGGCTCCCTGTGACTAGCACCTTGGCCAGACATCATCCTGAACAGTGGGAGATGACACTGTGGAGCAAGGCAGGCGCCGGGTCAGGGCAGCAAGTCTTAGTTTGGTAGGGATGATGAATTTTATTTTTATAACTGGATGTTTCATTTGTCTGAAAAAACATGTATTTGCAGTTTCATTGCCAATGGACTGTGTACTCACCAAACTCCTATAATACGCATGAAACCCTGAATATGTGAGCTGTGAAATTAGGCTCACATGTTAGTATTAATTTATAAGCTCTATCCAATTCACTGGCTGTAACTGCCAAGAAGTCCCTTTGATAACTGTCTGCTGGCCCACACGGGCTCCTTTGCTCCAGTCTTAATTACTACTATAAACTCTCAGATCACACATTATAATACACATATAAGTGTACGTATCACATACGCTTAGATTACAGAATGGCTTCCAACGGGTGAAGGAGTTGCCATTAGAGTTTAAAGAGACCAGACTGGAGGCAGAGACATGGAGCAGCAGAGGAACTGTCAGAAATGATGCAAATAGGAGGTATTAGCACTTGGGTGGAGCTGAAGCCTTAAGATGGCCAGGAGTTCTCTGCTGCAGGCTCCTCAGACAACCATATGGCAAGTTTGTGGGCGCCATAACCATTGCAGTTAGGTGGCCTGTTCAGGGTCCAGCTGAGGGTGAGCCAAATCCTCAGTCCTGGAACTCTGATGTGGTTTTGATATGTACATGTGCTCGCTGCTTCCAACCTGTTCTGGTAAGTGTATAGGTGACACCTTTTCCTTTAGGGTTAAGTTAGGTCTCAGCCTTTGAATCACGGAGGGTCCTGGGCAGGGCGTGTGTCTGTAAAGAGTGAGGTGTCATGACATGCAGCTTCTGCTTTGCACTGAGAGGGGAGGCAAATGGAGTCACCCGAGGCAAGTCACTGTTTGAGACAGTGAGGGGTAATTTAGAGCCAGGTCCAGCTTGCTGTCCACAAAGCAGTTAAGTGAAACAAGAATGAAAAAGGAACAAGCAGTGAGTCCCTGATGGCAGCAGCCTCTTGCTCTGTGATGCCCTGGTGCGTGAGGCTCTGATGCCATCAGTCTCCTGGTTTCCCACCAGTCTGGAAGTCAACAGCACAGATTTCAGAGATACCATCAGAAATACGTTTGTTCCTTTGCTGAAGAAGCCACAGGCAGTGTTCAGAGTCACCCAATACAGCTGCTGATGACCACTGTGGATCAGACTACAGAGCTAGAGTAGCAGCAGAGAGCACCTGTGGACAAAAAGTGGGTCACAGTGGGCTCCAGAGCCTCCAGCTGCCGCACCCCACTCTCCTTCATTTCTCAGACACTCTCCACATCCCAGAGCACAGAATCAGCCGCACAATCCCTTCCTTTTTCATTTTCCTTCTAGATCTGCTACTCCAAGCTCCTGTGTGGCAAGTCTTCAGATGTTTAGTGTGTTGTAAGCATATTGAAAAAGAGATTGTGAATAAAAAAATCAGCAAACATGAAAAAAAAAAAACAGATTGTATGAAATTATGAAAGGCCAGCAAAATATGCCTGCATTTCTGTCTTTGCTGGCCTTATTATTTTCATTTTTCAAATGTGTGCTTTGGGGACAAGGATTCTCTTTATTCCCCAAGCTGGCCTTGGGTTTTGTATGATATAACTCACAACAGGCTTGAACTCTTCTGGCAATGTTCCTACCCTGACATTCCACACATGGAAATTGTAGGTCTAATCAAATGTACAGGTTAGAGCTCCCATACTTCATCCTTTCTGCTGTGCAGGTGCCCAGCTCATGTTAATTCATATTTCATTTCAGTCTCCATTTTGTATTTAGCGAGTTAGCGTATTCAGCTGTAGTCTGTGCCCATCAGTGACAAGACACAAAAAGGAGTGTGATCACATAGATAATTAAACCCCACTAAGCTCTAATAAGTATATTCCTCTTAAATAAAACTGTCAACACCCGCTCCAATCACATCTCACACGGAGGAACTCTCTGGCAGTACTAAATGATGGTGAGCAAATATGTCTTACAAGATATTTAGAACAACTAAGTAGATACAAGACGGGGGTCTCGGGAAAGAGCACGGCAGACCATACAAATGAGGTTTAGAAAGCGGTTAACGGCCACTCTAGGTGTCTGGGCAGTCATGTGACGGACAGGTGGGCAGACTATCCACAGAATTCATCTGGGGGGTTGGACATATGGATCAGTTGGTGAGATACTTCCTGGGCAAGAATGATAATCTGAATTTGAACTTCCAACCACCCAGTCAAAAGCTGGGCATGGCGGGGTGAGCCTGCATTTCAGCCATCCAGGAGGAAGAAGCAGGGGAGCAAGGGCGCTTAAGGGCTGCCAGCCTAGCTCCAGTTCAGCTTGTCTCTCAGGGAATATGGTGGATTTTTGTCTCCTGTGTACATGGGTGCATGCAAAGTACACGCATCCACATGACACGCACACATAAGACAGAACTGAAAGAAAGCCGAGTCAGTGTGCAGTCAAGGATTGCTCCACCAATGTTTCTCATGGTCTAGGGAAGACACAGCAGGTGATGGCAACTTCTGTGACATTAAGAGGAATTCCTGAGCTGGATCATGTCATCCTCAGAAAGCAAACATTTTCATCACAGTCTTGGGGGAACCTTTGATTGGGTCATGAGGAAGGAACACCCCATTTCGTTTTCCTTCTATCTTATCTGGATCCTTGGATTCTGTCACCTCAGGAGGACTTTCCTGTTTCTTCTCTCTGCTGACTGTATGGTTTCTCTGGCTCTGCCAGCCTCCTGCACCCAGCAACAGCATAATATCACTACAGAGCGGGGGCTCAAGGCTAAGAAGGGGCATCATTATAGTGGAAAGATGGCCCCTGTGCTGAACGGTGGTTTGGATAAGAACACTCGAACCCTCTCATATGTCCGAACCAGAATAATACTACCAGGCACAAGAGTGAGAACCCAGCCTGCTCCTTACCTCTTTTCTTCACAATCCAGGCAACTGCAAAGACCATGATGATCAATGCAATGATTAAAGGTAATAGATACAGAATCCAGCTGGCGTTTTGTTGCTCGCTGGCAGATGTAAGTTGTGTGGTATTCACATTACATGGAATCTGGGTGGCAGAGGTAAGCTGGGTAGTATCCAGAGACTTTACGTTTGGTCCTTTCAAACAATGACAAAAAATATGGATAAAACAAACAGCACATCTCCATCAGCAACTTCTCTCTCTAGGCAGCACAAGGAATTCATGTGTGATAACTATTTTACCAGATCCTGGATGGATGAATAGGACGTGTAAGATGTCCTCACAGTTAATTTCACTACCAAATAAGCAAATGTCTATTGAACCACCAAACAATGTGACATATTTACTGTGGGTAGAACTTTTTGGATGTTGGAACAATTGATAGTGTTTGATTGTGTCAAAGAAAGATATTGACACCTTCACAAGTGCTGGTTGAGCTGGTGGAAGGGCAGCCATAATGGAGGAAGAAAAGGCAGGAAGTTTACAGTGATGCAGACAGCTTGGGGCCCGTTAGCAGCCACACAGAGCCTGGGACACTGGTGAACAGGGAATGAGAAACAGGGAATGAGTTGGAAAGAGGAATCCTCATGCTCATTGCTGGCCTCCCAGACAGGAAGACCACCAAGAATTCACTCACTCGGTCTACCAAAATTTCCCTTATGCACACTTGCTGACATTCACACAGGGAGGTCATCAGAGTTTTCAAGGGAACTGCCTCGCCTTTCCTGCCCTCTGGAAGTTTCTTTGCGGTAAGCTACTGAGCTACTTACTTGGCTCTTCCCTCAAGTGTGTGGACAATTTCTTGAGGCAATCTCTGAAATCTCCCTCAGAGATCCTCCTGAGGTCTTCTAATTGGTCCTTGTTAGCCTCCCATTGTTTCACAGTACTGCCTGTGTCATGATGACTCCACCTCCAAGTCTTGTTGGTTAGATAACAGAAGGAGGCATTCCGGCCATCATTGGTGAAGGCCCAGCAGGCATGAGTGAGGTCTCCTTGTTTATATTGAGACTTCATGGTGACATTCATTGTGTGATCTCCTGCAAATGGCACACAGAACAATCATCATCTTCTACCCTTTATAGAGCCATCAACCCCTCAATGGTCAGATCTTTCCCTACACACTTAGGAACCTGTGTTCTTTCCTCCCTGGCTTGCCGTTTTTTACACATTAGTTACCATGCACTTCCAGGCTGGGTCAATATTAAGTTTTTTTAATGCCAATACAGCCAGAGCCCACTTCCTACACATGGTCTGCTCTTCCTGTTTCTTTTTTTCTTTCTATAAAAACAGGTATCTTTTTCTTTCTTTTTTTAATAAATTATTATTTTTATATATTAATTACAGTTTATTTGTATCCCAGCTGTAGCCTCCTCCCTCATTCCCTCCCAATCCTGCCCTCCCTCCCTCCCTCACCTCCGCTCTGCCTTTCTCTAAGTACACTGATAGGTCCTCTTCCCCTTCCATCTGACTCTAGCTTATCAAGTCTCATCAGGACTGGCTGCAATGTCCTCCTCTGTGGCCTGACAAGGCTACACCTCCCTCTTGGGTGTGTGTGGGGGAAGTCAAAGAACCAGCCACTGAGTTAATATCAGAGACAGTCCCTGTTCCCCTTACTAGGTGACCCACTTGGATACTAGTGATAGTCTCTATCTTTGCATTCGGTCCCATACTTACCTGTGGTCAGGAATAACCCTGGTTCCTTGCACATCTCTTCCAAAACCCCTTTTATGCTGTCTGGCAAAATTGTGCACACTTGAATGGCTTTCCCCTCCTTCTCCAGTTTACGCAAAAGTGTGTCTTCATTTCTGTTACCATACTGAAGGAGAGTCCCTCCGTTCACTGAGCATTGTCCAGCTGTGGTACGAGACTTGACAGAGAGCTTGCAGATTAGAGAGTCTGCATCTGTGAGAGAAACATGCATGTGAGGGCCAATGGGGAAGCAGAGGTTCATAGACTCGTGGTTTTGAAACTCTGGGAAAATGTCAGGAGGACAAGTGTCTTTTCAAGAGGTCCACCAGCTTCTGGATCCTTATTTCTGTGCCATTGTTGACTGTCTTAGGTTGGTAGAACTCAAGTGTACAAAGCGTCACCAGGAAGATTTATCTTACAAGTACTTTTAGTGACTATGATCAAGTGTTGAAGAGTAAAATATATCACGTAGGATCCATGTTCCTGGGGCTGAAACTCTTGCTGAACACACAGGGGAAAGGAGACATCATAGAACACGTGGTGAATTCACCATGGGGCCTGTATGTTTAGGAAAGGCTCCTGGAGTCATGTGCATCTTGGCTTGGAATGGGGAGCTGTCACCTGTGAGCACAGAGCTCATCATGGCCCCACTGGGCCCCTTCACACAAACGCTTTTCCTAAACGAGGAACAGGGAATAATGAAGGTTAATTAAGAAAGCATTCCTGGCATCATATTTGCACGACTACTGCTAAGACTAAAATGGCAAACGTCTTAGAAGGGAGTATTTATACACAGACTTACAGATGTTAGTAAGGAAACCATTTTTGTAACCTCTCACAGTAGTGTCGATCAGACAAGGTCTCTGGGATGCTTGGGATTCATCAATAGGCAAGACAGGCTTGCCAGTGACCCAGGGTTCTCCTGCCTCTGCTTTCCTAGTGCTGACAATGCAAGCAAACAGCCCCATGCCCAGATCACTTACATGAGTTCTAGGGATCAAATTCAAGTCCTCACGGTTGTGAAGCAGGCACCTTACCACTCAGAGATCTCCCCGAGCTTAGGACACACAGGACAGTTGATGATCAGCAAAGAGAATTTTCTGCAGACAATGCCCACGTGCTACAGGAATGGCTTACATGACCCAGGTCAGATACTGCATGGAATACACAATCCAGCACCTCTAAAATGGGTAGTGAAGGGCTGTGTAAAAGGCCCAGAGTACACACGTTAAAGGAGATGTGATATGAAATTAGGAGTGTGGCATTTTGGAGTAGGTGTAGCTTCGTTGGAGGAAGTGTGTCATTGGGGGAGGCCTCTGAGGTTTCAGAAAGCCCACTCCAAGTCAGAGTCTCTCTTCTTTCTGCCTTTAGGTCAGGATACAGAACTCTCAGCTATGATATCTGCCTGTGTGCTGCCCTGTTTTACACCATGAAAAAATGGACTAAACCTCTGAAATGCTAACAAAGCTCCAACGAAATGCTTTCTTTTATAGGAGATGCCATGGTCATGGGGTCTCTTCAGAGTAATAGGACACTGACCAAGCTAGGAGTTGGTCCTGGGAGTGGGGGATTGCTGTGACAGCCCTCACCATGCTGATTGTGGGCAGAATGTGGACTTTGGGACTTTGGATTAGGAAGCAGTTGAACATTTTAAGTGGGGCTTAAGGGCCATGCCAGTAGGAGCAAAGAAGACATTGGTGTTAGAGCAGTATAGATTAGGAGAGCCTGGCTCAAAAGGTTTCAGAGAGAAGAATATTATTAAGTGCCCTAGAGACCATTTTTATGACCATTTCTGTGAAGACTGTGGTTGATTTTTGCCCCTGTCCCATCTCTTCCAAATAAAAATATGGCTAAGACTGAATTGAAGTGTTTTGGATTAGTGAATTTGGCAAAGGACATTTCAGGACATTCCAGTATCAACTGTGTCACATGGTCATTAGTGGTGTCTCTTATGCAGATCTGTAACGAACAGGAACAAGATGAGCAAGGAAAAACAGAAAATGAGCAGTTTGAGGAGAAAAGGAGCCCCAGGAAGAGTAATGGAGAAAGCCCAGTGCTCAATGAGATTTAAACAACAACAAGAAAATAATAAAGAAAAGCCTGATTCTAAAAGGAATAAAAGGAGGTGTGACCTCAGGGAAAGACCCCAGGCAGCTAAGCTCCCAACTTGTCAGAAGGAATTCAAGAAATGTGTAGACAATGAGGGAGACTATCAAAACCAGAAAGCTGATTAAAATGTGTCTGAATGAGTGAGCCATGTTCCAGCCTCAGCAAAAGCAGAAAACCTTGTCAGCTTTGGCCGTGTGGTTCCGGCTTTAGGGTCAAGGATATAAGGAAGGGTTGTGGAATCTCCCTTCTGGGCTTCATAAAGCTATTGAGGCCAGGCATGTGTCAGGGGTGTCGCTGCATGGAGGCTCATAAAGGCCCTAGGGTGAAGCTGTGAAGGTAAAGCCTGAATTTCAGTGCAGACTCCAAGATTTTGGAGATGCCAGAGTCATGAAATAATTGCCAAGGAGAGCTGGTAAAAGGGTATAGAAGCAGGCGAAGGGAGAGAAGTATGTTGCAATCAGCAAAGGTGAAAGGGTTTAGAGTGCTGAAGAGCATGTTGTCATCAGGCATGGAGATGCAGAGTTTGAAGTCTGAGCTGCTGGTTTTCCATCCTGCCTTGTATTTTCTCACTATGTTCCCTTTCCTTTCCTCCCTCTAAGAATGGTGATGCGTATTCTGTGCCATATTGTGTTGGAAATATGTGATCTGCTTTTAAATTTTACAGGCAAGTTTAGTTAAGAGGGGGGTCCTGAGTCTCAAAAGAGACTTTGAACTTTGTGCTTTTAAAAAGTGTCGAGACTGTGATAGACTATGGGGACTTTTGAAGTTGGACTGGATACAGTTTTGCATTATTACCAGCCCATCAGGGGCAGGGATTGCAATGTGGTTGTTTGAATAAGAATGCCCCCATGAGCTCAAATATTTGAATGCTTGATCATTATGGCATGACACTACCTGAGCGGGATTAGGAGTGTAGCCTTTTTGGAGTAGGTGTGTCCTTACAGGGGGAAGTGTGTCACTGGGGATGGGTTTGGGGTTTCAAAGAGCCCATTCCAAGCCTAAAACCTGCTATTTCTTGCTGTGATTAGAGCCAGATATAGACCTGTAGCCACCATGTCTGCCCATGTACCACCGTGCTGCAAACCATGAGCATAATGGACTACACCTCTGGAACCATAAGCAGCCTCAAATGCTTTCTTTGATAAGAGTTGCCATGGTCATGACGTCTCTTCACAGCAATAGAACACTGACAAAGATAGTCTGTTTCTCCCCTTGGTTGCTTTCAGTCTGAGCAACAGAATGAAACCAGAACAACACAATGCCAGATCTCCTGGACATAATGCAGTGTTCCAGGGATGGTTTCCTGGAACTGCTCAGAACATAGTGTGGTTAAATCTGGTAGTAGAGGAGTGGTGATAAAAAAAAAAAAAAAATCTCAGAGAAGTTAATGTGACCGAGTGGATGTCACAGCAAAGAGATCTGGGAAATGTGCAGAGTCCCTGCTGCTCTGTGGGATGCTGCAGCAGCCATGTTGAGAAGCA